CGCTCTGGCGAGCCCGCGCCGTCTCCACTGGCGCCGGCGACCGCGCCCCAGCCGCCGCCTCGCCGCGTCTCGTCGCCGTCCTCGCCAAGTCCGGCCACCGGCGAGCCCCGCGTCGCCGGATCCGGCAAACTCTTTCCTCTCCGGCCATCTACAGTGTTTCCAGCAAACCTCGTAAAGCGTGCACGAACCCTAGATCCGGATCTGGGAGGTTAACCTCGTTTTTCTCCTAAGTCCCAGTAATTTTTAGCATTCTTCATCGTATCATAACTTTGCATCCGTGGCTCCGTTTTGGGCGTGTAGCATACCAAATTGTTCGTCTCGATGTGTACTTCATTTCATTCCATTGCACCATGTTCATTTGAGTTCATATTGATGCCCTAAATGCTGTTGCAAGAGTGCTATGTAATGTTAGTTTCAGATTCTTATCAGTAATTGGACATTTGTCATTTTTGCCATGATTAATGTGTGCCTCCAATGAACTTGAGCCCTACATGTGTTTTGAAGTATGCCATGCCATCTTTACAGGGGTGTATGCCATGTATTTTTGTGATCTTTGTGGTGACTAGCATAAGCATGCAAAGTAGCTCTCGTAATATTGCTGATTTCAGGGACTTAGAATTCTTCTAAATCTTTTCCCTGATAATATTTTTATGCCATGTATTCATGTTGCTATAGGGTGATCCATGCCTATTTTGAACATGATCAGTAAGGATGATTTTGAGATATTGTTATGCTTTATCCATCCATGTCTTTGTTTGCAATTATGGAGCACCCTAGCATGACTCAATCTTGCTCTACTTTTGCTATAAAATGTTCCTGGCAGATTGTTTACGTGTTAATCAATTTTGTCGAGGTTGTTGTAGTTGATCCATGTATGCTATGAGAGTGTTCTTGCCATGGTTAGCTTATTTATCATGTCTACTTGCTGGGTGTATGCTTAGTTTGTCATGCAATGCCTTGTGGTGAGTGCATCGAGCTCGTAAACATGCCTACGTGAACCTGTTTTGCCATGTTCCGGTTTTCTGCTAAGTCTGAATCTGTTAATGAAACTTGCTATGTTCACTTGCTTGCCATTGTATTTTCTGATACCTTTTGACTCATGGTCAGTAAGGGACTTTTGTTGTATGCTTTGAGTAGCTTCATGCCATGCCTTGATTTGCCATGATATGTTCCTGTAGCATGTTGTTATCTTACTCTAAACATTTCTTCCTGATGTTAAATCCTAACATCATGTTATTTTCACCACGTCTGTAACCTGATATCTTTTGCACTTTTGCCATGCTTGTTTGAACCTGCTATTGTGTGAATTTTCCATAGCTCAGTGTTCATATTTTGTCAAGCATCTTGAGTGGATCACTGCCATGTGCTTTGTTGTTATGTTAGAGTGCAGTAGCTTGTTGTTCTTGATGCATTTAGATGGCCTCGCGCTGTTAATCGCAGCTTCGTGC